CATTTCTATTTTAATGTACTTAAAGTTTAAATCACATTAAAAGCTTAATTTGTACATGAATGAATGATGGATTTATATACCGTCACTCACAGCCGCTCGCACGTGTTTTGTGCATGAGCGCACACAGCCCAAAATTAAACTGCTTAATCAACCATCGATAGCATCTCTTATCGACAATTAATCGATCATCGATTAATTGTTGGCATCCCCAATACAGACTTCATCTGCAGCCAGCACTAACTCCGCCAACAATTAAGACTTTATCAAAGAATTTGCTGATTTTCTATCGATTTTAATATCCATGTAGATAATGCAAAAGATGCATTGGTATCAGCATTTATAGACATTTTAAACTCTATTGGGGCTAGACAACACGTGTCAGGACCTACTCATTGTCAAAATCATACTTTAGATTTAATAATGTCACATGGAATTGATGTCGATGGCATTGAAATTCTGCAGCAGAGCAATGATATCTCAGATCATTATCTAGTCTTGCGTATACTCCATATAGCTAAAGCTGCAAATTCAACTTGTTACAAATATGGTATAACCATCACTTCTACAACAAAAGACTGCTTTGTAATTGAACTTCCTGACTGGTCTCAATTCCTTAGTAGTCATGAAATCAAAAATAACCCTACTTTTTAGTGCACATTACTAGTCTTGTGGTGAACAATTGAACCATGCAAGTCAATACACTGGAAAAATTTAATTGTCTGCCGTCGTAATCTTTAATCAAAAACTGAAAATTGGCTTCCGCTCTGGAAGCCAATTTTCCGAAGCTCAGTTTCGTTCTTGCTCTGACGACGTCAGTTTGACGGCTTGGGGAGAATCCTCTTGTTAAGTCATGATGCAAGGACTGCTGATACCAGGTGCATGCCTCTACTTATTTCACTTGAGAATACCATCTCAACAGCCATTTATAAGCATTTTTTAATTAAAACAAATTTAATATAAGCATTTCAAAATTTGCTGTGCACACTACAGTCTCCGTGCTCAGTGTCTCAGACACTATTTTAGCTGAATCTGGGATTTCAGTATGGAGATAAAGGTTAGGGTTATACTTTTTCAGTATTACATGACATCGTGAGTGTGTATATGCAGTTTGTTGTTCTGCATCTGGCAGAGCGTTAGGACCCAGAAGCAGTGAAGCGTGATGTCATACGTAACAAGCAGATATTCTTAACCACTAACCATGATTCTGCTAGGAGCAAGAGGTGGAGTGGAGGTGCACCACAATAAAACCCCACCCTTTATTCAATATACCGTTTGGAAATACGTCACAACACTGAAGTAAGTTGCAACTTCCGGTTCACGAGTACTTCGATATTGATATTTTTCAAGGTATTGACATTAGAAATTCCTGCATGACCACTAATTCACATACTTTGAACATAACCCACTTATCTTATTGACAAAGTAGCTATTATCCACAGATCTTTGATATGAATATTTTTTTGGTAATTCATTAAATAAATCGCAGACTAAAAAGTAACTAGTAATTAGTACGCAGAGTAGTTTGAGTAGTGTGTATATGCAGTTTGTTGTTCTGCATCTGGCAGAGCGTTAGGACCCAGAAGCAGTGAAGCGTGATGTCATACGTAACAAGCAGATATTCTTAACCACTAACCATGATTCTGCTAGGAGCAAGAGGTGGAGTGGAGGTGCACCACAATAAAACCCCACCCTTTATTCAATATACCGTTTGGAAATACGTCACAACACTGAAGTAAGTTGCAACTTCCGGTTCACGAGTACTTCGATATTGATATTTTTCAAGGTATTGACATTAGAAATTCCTGCATGACCACTAATTCACATACTTTGAACATAACCCACTTATCTTATTGACAAAGTAGCTATTATCCACAGATCTTTGATATGAATATTTTTTTGGTAATTCATTAAATAAATCGCAGACTAAAAAGTAACTAGTAATTAGTACGCAGAGTAGTTTGAGTACTTTGTACTTTTACTTAAGTACTGTTTTGACACCAGTATTTTTACTTGTAATCGAGTATTATTTCAGCAATGTAACAGTACTTGTACTCAAGTACAAAATTCAGTACTCTTTCCACTACTGACCATTACTATTAGAGGTCGACCGATAGTGGATTTTGCCGATACCGATAGCTAGGTTGGACCCCACTGGCCGATACAGATTAATTAACCGATAGTTTTAAAATTGATACTGAACAAACTAAAAGTGCTTAATTAACAAAAACAGTCCTGAACCATACTAGTAAAAATAAATAAATAATAATAGTAAATGTTGAAATTAACACTAAGAAGGAACAATACTTACACAGCTTTCATTAAAATAAGAGTCCATTTGTAGCATTAAGATTAAAGTGTTACCATTTCATTTCAACTGTCATGCTTAAAGATGCGCATCTTTAAATATATACACAAAGGCTATAGCATTAAAATTATATATATATGGATATTGTATGTATACTCTCACTCTTTAACTGCTTCCATTCTTGAACACTTGATTATCTAATCAAAATAAAAGCGCAGCGCTGTCCACTACTGACCATTACTATTAGAGGTCGACCGATAGTGGATTTTGCCGATACCGATAGCTAGGTTGGACCCCACTGGCCGATACAGATTAATTAACCGATAGTTTTAAAATTGATACTGAACAAACTAAAAGTGCTTAATTAACAAAAACCGTACTGAACCATACTAGTAAAAATAAATAAATAATAATAGTAAATGTTGAAATTAACACTAAGGAACAATACTTACACAGCTTTCATTAATCTTAATGCTACAAATGGACTCTTATTTTAAAGTGTTACCATTTCATTTCAACTGTCATGCTTAAAGATGCGCATCTTTAAATATATACACAAAGGCTATAGCATTAAAATTATATATATATGGATATTGTATGTATACTCTCACTCTTTAACTGCTTCCATTCTTGAACACTTGATTATCTAATCAAAATAAAAGCGCAGCGCTGAGTCTAGGAGAACTCACCGGTATAACCACACACTCCGGACACGTCGCATTCAATTCGAGCAGCGGTCTAAAACAGTTTATTTAAAAATCACCAAACAGACAAGTTTACCTCATGAACAATTTGGCATGGATGAGTTAAAGTTGTTTAAAAAAATAAATAAATAAATAAAAATAACAAGTAAACGGAAAGAAAGCACGACCTATATTATAGCTCTATAAATGAAGCACAGACTTTATTAGAGCCACAGAAAGACAAACGTTTTGCTGAAAATACACAATACATTAAGTACATTAACAACGATTCGGGACCAATATAATGTAATTTAAAGGAAAACTATGTGAATGGCGCAGCATGATTTTCTGTCGGCTGCATTTAAATCCGCGTCTGAAGTTTCCCACTCCGTTCAGCGTGCAGTATCACGTGTCTAAACAAATAGCATGTGCAGTCAGTGATTTCAACCACTAGAGGCCGCTTTTGCACAGTGTAATGACAGCAGACCCTTCTCAGCCGCTCCAGCAATGGACGCAACCCGGAAAACTATCGGCATGGATTTTTGTCGATAACCGATAGTTCCAGCAATCAACTATCGGTGCAGATTAATCAGCAAAACAGATACATCGGTCGACCTCTGATAACTATGTCAGCATCACTTGGCTACTGAGTGTAGTTTGGGCTCCTCCTCAATGCATCCTATAAAAGGTTGCTATATGTCCTGCACACATCCAGTCAGTTTTTCTTCATTAGTAACATGCAATTATAGGTGTTGAATTTTACCTTTAGCTCCTTGCATTTTTTCTTACGTCAACAGGTTAAGTAAAAATATGAATATGCAATAGTGCATACATTTTGCAAAATGCTACTATTTTTTTCTGGCTGACTAATGAGCTTATGGACGCCGAATGGTTATTCTGAGGTAAATGTATCGTTACGTGGCATTGTTCACAAGCTTTACGCGTTTTCCACAGTTTGAAATGCTGAATGAGCGATTACATTAGACATTTCAGTAAGATGTACTGGATCTTATAATAAACCTTTTGATGTCCATTCATGTTTATTTCGTGCTATACTAGTAAAAAGAGAAAGATATGAT